CACTTGCTTTGAGAGGTGGGAACCGGATGGTCAGAGGGCAGATTCTCCCCCAGCATCCCCCGCCACGCCCAGCCTGGTGCTCAGCTCCGCTGGGGGAGCGGAGGACAGGGAAGGAGAAGACCCGGGCCCTGCCCTCGGGCCCAGCCTCACCCCACGGGGCCGTGAGGGGACAGTCCGGGGTCGGGGGTCGGGCACAACTTTCACTGTGGGTGCTGCTGTGGAGGCAGGGGTCAGGGGCAGCTGTGCCTCTGGGAAGGAGGAGGTAGGAGGTGAGGAGGAAGAGTGTGCATGCAGACACCCAGGGGCAGAGAGCCTGTGGCACGGGAACTGGACCCTTGCCTGGGGTTGGGAAGGGCTGGTGGCAAGTGCCACACCAGGTGGCAAGTGGAGAGCCTTGAGGACCAGGCCAAGGAGTTTGAGGGGACATCCTGTCTCCTTTTTGGTCTTTGTGCCCTGGGCCTGGGTCCCTCCTCTGCTCCACCTCAGAGGGGATTGGCCATGCCTCCCAGGAAGGATGACTTCATGCTAGAGCCAAATGCCCTGTGTGGGGCTGGGGGAGATAGGCTGTGTCTGAGCAGCCAAGGGCCAGGGCCAGCAGGTCCTAGATCAAGGTCGCAGGCATTCTCTGGGCAGGGCGTTCTCTGATTTTCACCACCCCGCTCCAGGACTCTCTTCCTATCCTCCATGAGTGCCCTCTGCCTCCATTCTGGAAAGCCTGAGCCATTCTGGAAAATTCATCCAAGCTGCTGGTGAGCCGATGGTGCCTGGATGGTCACGGCCAGCCTGTTGTTTGAGTCCCTTCCCACCCCAAGCTCCACCCTCTGGGTGGGCCTCCTGGAGGGAATGAAATCATTGTTTCCCACAACCCAGCCTGCGGGTGGGAAATCCCTGCCTGGCCCAGAAGGCAGGGTCCATGCCCCTCAGCCCCTCTGCTCTGTGCTCCACAGAAGCTTCTGGCTAAGAGAGTGACAGCCGTGGCCACACTCATGGGCATCTTCTCCCCACACAGCCCGAGGTCCGGACGCTTGGCCGACACCTGAGCCTCTGTGCACCCACCTCTGGAAAAGCCTGAGATTCTCCCCCTGGATTCCAATGGGGACGGAACCCAGACTGTCCTGGGAACAGCCAGCTCTGACTGGAATTCGGGTCTCACTGGGCACATCAGGAATAAGGCACATCTGGAAAAGCGTTTGCTGAGGCTGTTGCTCCAGCAGGGCCAGACAGTGACCAGGCCTGAATGGCCTCAAGCCCCGCCCAGGCTCAGGAGCTGGGTGGGGGGCAGTCCCCCTTATTTAGCCTGGCTCAGCCCTGTGGGCTCTGGAGGCTGGGCCCATGCCACTGTCCATGGGAGGGACACGGAGCCTGCGGAGTCAGGCCACGCTGGAGGAGGAGCTGGGGTGGAGGCAGCATCCTGCCTCAGAGCCCAAACTCCCAGACTAGGGGGGCTGCAGGGGTGACTCTCGCCTCTCCCGGCTGCTCTATGTGCCCAGTCTTAGCCTGATGCTTCCTTCCCCAACCCTCCACCCCTCGCCCATCCTAGCGCCTCTGGGGCCCGGACCTCTCAGCCTTTGTACTTGTTCCTGAGCAAGCAGAACTGGGGTTTCCCTATGGTAACTGGGCCGGTCAGGGGCCCTTCCTGACAGGCAGGCAGAGAACCAGACTTGGGCTCTGGGAATTAGGTTCTAATCCAAGCTCTGCTTTTCCTTGGCAAATCACTTACCATCCGAGCCTCCCAGGGTTGTGGGGAAGATGGGCCCTCGGCTAGATGCTGTTTCCTTCCTTCCTCCACTGGTCGGTCTGGATGTGTGGCAGACCAGAGAGAAGGAGATGGAAGGTTTTGGGGCCTTCCTGGGTCTGGGGCTCCAGTGGAGATCTTCTCCCTTCCCATGGAAATGGTCAGGTTATGGCCACAGAGGCCCCTTTGCATTATGGGAGGTGGTGGGTGACTGAGGTGGGCATTATTCTGGAGATGCTTGTGTTCTGATGGCGCCTCCTGGTGACAGCAATGCCTTCATCCAAAGGAATGGAGTTATAATGGTGGCATATGAGGCAGAGGCCATGCTGGTGTGAAGGACGGGGTGGGAGATGCAGGGGGTGGCAGGGGTATTGCCCTGAGGAACCTCCTATCACCCGAAGATTGGCGGGTGCCTAATTTGCCTGGGCAAAAGTGCTTTGCTTACCCTGTGACGCCTGGGTCCCCATCTCCTGCCCTGCTCCAAAGGACACAGGCCTCTCCAAGTACACACACACACACACACACACACACACACACACACGTGCCCTCCGCAGTCACATACTCCGTCCTCCAGAGTGCCCACACAGGGCCTGCGGGCTCACGTGCTAGAACACAGGCTTCAGGAGGACAATGAGAGGGCCGTCTGGTTCATAGCTGTCTCCCCAGTGCCCAGAACGGTGTTTGGCATGTGCCAAGTAAACATTTGTTGGATAAATTTGTACGTCCCAGGGGAATCTCCCCCTCATGCCTGGTAGCACATTCTGTGTTCTCAGCCGCACGGATCCTGACCTGGCCCCGGACACTGTCACGGAACCCGGAGCACACACAGGCCCATACAGGCCCCTCTTCTGTGGTATTGAACCCCCAGACCAACCTGCACCCAGTGGCCCCTGCGGGCCTGGTGCCGGCTCTCCCATGCCGCCCTCCTCAAGCCCTCGTGGCTGGGTCCCAGTACCTGCCAGAGTCAGAACTTGACCCTGCACCAAGCAGAGGGCAGGGACAGGTGTGGGCTCTGTTAGGACCTAGAATCTGAGGGGGAAGAAGGAGGATGGCGTGGATGTCTCTCAGTGGACATGGAGCCTGTGGCCTGAAGGGAAATGGTCCTGTCTGGACTGAGGGGAAAAAAGGGCTGTCCTCTGAAGCCTGGGCGTGAGGGAACCCCAGCCCTGTGGAGGGAGCTCTGGTTAGAGGTCCCAGAACTGACAGAGAACTCCTCACTGTGGGGCACTGTTGCCACAAGTCCACAGGGCCAGGGGCCAGGGGCCAGGGGCCAGGGCACGAGGAAGCCTCCCGGGGCGTGGAGAGCTGAGCCAGGCCTGCCCAGAGTGGAGGATGTGGAAGAGGTTCCTGGAAGTGGCCCAGTGGGGCTGGCTTCCTCTCTGGACGGTTAATAAGGCACCAATTACCTCTGGCCGCCGGGGTTCTCTGAGCAGGCAGGGCCCACCAGCCACCACGCTGACTCCCTGCTCATGTCCACTCCATCCTATACTTACAGATACTTAGGTGGACACAGCTACCCTCCATACTCCATCCCAAGCGAGCCTCCTGCTCTCAGCAAGCACCAGGCTGATGCCTGGGCGGGTTCATGGCCGGCGCCAGGGTGGCCCTGGTGTGCGCTGCAGCTGGCCAGTAGGGTGGCCAGTGGGGGCTGGTGTCATCTTCTGCAGATGGCCCTTGGACAGGAGGCACAAGATCCACGTGCTCATCCTTGCCCTACCCCTGGCATATGCAGAACTCACAGAAGTCCTTCCTCTCACTGGGCTTCAGTTTTTCACCTATAAAATGGGGAGAAGCCAGCACTCACGTGTAGGACTGTGGTGGGGCAGGCAGGAGGTGGGAGGAGAGGGCCTCGGAGGCCACTCCCTCCAGGGCCCCGCCTGTCCAGGGCCCCGCCCGCTCCTCTTCACACACTACCCAGCAGCAGGTGGGTGGACTGGGCCTGGGGCTCCTGACGGGGCTCCTGGCCCAGGAGTCCAGTTTCTTGCTCAGTTTGTTGGCCACCGCTGGACCTCTGGCTTGGGGAGGCACAGGCACAGGCTGGACTGCAGGGGTCTGCAGAGCAGCCTCTTCCCCTTCCCCTGCCGGGGGTGGGGGGTGGGGTGTGGGGGCTGGGAGCTTGTCTGGTCCCTCCCCCTCACCTGCCTGCCCCTCCCTCATCTTTCCCTTTTCCCTGCCTGCCTCTGGGTCCAGTCGTGTCTCCCCTCTTTCCAGTTTGTCTCCTCTCCCTCTGTGCTCCTTCTGTCTCTCTCTCTCAGCCCTGGCCTGTCTCACTGCCTCTGCCTGGGGATCATCTCTTTCACTTCCATTTTTTTGATGGTTCCGCTTCCCTATAACTCTGTCCTTCATTCTCTGTCTGTCTGTCTGTCTCCTCTCCTCTTCACTGCTCTGTTGGGGCCTCTCCCTTTCTCCCTTGCTCCTTTCTTCTCTCCTGGGCCTTCCAGTCTCCAGGTCAGGCTGCCGTTCCTTCAGTCTCCCCAGAGGTCTGCCAGCTGGACAGCCTTTGAGAGGAAAGTCCTAAACTGCCCTCACCTTCCCCACCTGCCCCCAAAACACTAGTTCAAACTGCTTCCTAGAAACTTGAGGGCTCCCGCAGTGGGGGCTTCCCACACCCTTTCCTATCTCAGGCCTGCCATTGAGAGGGTGGGCCACAGACAAGCTCTCTGCACATTCTGATGCCTCCATGCCCCCATCAACTGAGGCCTGGCTGGTGGGGCTGGAGGTGTGGGGACATCCCTAAAGTGACATCCAGTGGCCAGGCCTGACCCGGAGTGTGGGAGGCCCAGACTGCCCCTTTGGACCCCTGGGCCCATGGACTGCAGTCTAAGGCCACTCTGAGGTAGGATGGGGATGCCAGGGCAGCAGGGTCACAGTGCCCGCCTCCAGGGAGGGCAACGTCCACCCGCCGAGTCCAACCCGCCCACCTTGCCACATTTGGAGTGCCTGGCTCTGCCCTTGGGCACCCCCTGAGCTTTGCACACCTGGATTTCTCTGGCCCCCTGAGTGGGGCCAACTTGCAAGAATTTCCCAAAGCCTATTACAGCAGTGGCTGCCTCCTGCTTGCCTCCTCGGGCAGGGCAGGGCTGAGGGCGGAGGGAGAGAGGGAGGGAGGGGGGAGAGGAGGAAAGGAAAAAAAGTTGGCAGGCCGACAGCAGAGCTGTGTCTGCATCCATCGCTGAGAGGAGGCCTGTGCGGTGCGGGGCGGGCCAGGAGCAAGGAGAGGCCTTCCTCCCTTTGTGCCCCCCCTCTTTCCCCCCGGGCCCTATAAATAGGCCCAGCCTGGGCTGTGGCTCAGCTCTCGGAGGGAGTCGGGCACCAGGCAGCAGTCTCCAGCCAAGACCCCTGCCAGCATGGCCAGCGAGTTCAAGACGAAGCTCTTTTGGAGGGCGGTGGTGGCCGAGTTCCTGGCCATGACCCTCTTCATCTTCATCAGCATTGGTTCCGCCCTGGGCTTCCAATACCCGGTGAAGAACAACCAGACATCAGGTGCAGCCCAGGACAACGTGAAGGTGTCGCTGGCCTTCGGGCTGAGCATCGCCACGCTGGCCCAGAGCGTGGGCCACATCAGCGGCGCCCACCTCAACCCGGCTGTCACGCTGGGGCTGCTGCTCAGCTGCCAGATCAGCATCCTCCGGGCCCTCATGTACATCATCGCCCAGTGTGTGGGTGCCATCGTCGCCACTGCCATCCTCTCGGGCGTCACCTCCTCCCTGCCCGACAACTCGCTTGGCCGCAATGAGGTGAGTGGGCTGGCCTCAGGCTCAGGGGCGTCTAGAATGGTGCTGAGACAGCACTGGTCTCATCCTCTGCCCATTGTGCAGATGGGGACACCGAGGAACAGAGAGAACAGAAGTTGCTGGAGGTCTTGCAGAGTTGGGGCTGGAACTCAGCTCCGCCTGCAGCCCAGCGCCTGTTTTTTGCCAGGACTGAGACCCAGAGAACAGTCTTGCCGGTATCCCCTGTGGGCATCTATTGTGGGAAATAAGCTCTCGAGGCTGCTGAAGTTTGGGCCAGCAGTTCATCACCCCTCGACTGTAGTTTCTTGGCTCCCTGCAGCCCTGCCTGTGCAGGCAGCTCCCTCTGCCTGCATGCAGCCTGGCCACTGGGGAAACTCTGCCCTCAGTCCCCACTCCCCCTGAACCAGATGCCTGGCATGTCTGCAGCCAGGTCTGCAAGTGCGTGATCAGGACTGCTGTGGGGGGACGCACAGGCCTCCAGGCAGCCTCCACATTCACACAGGTCCCCAGATAAACTGCTTTCAAGGAAAAAGCCCCTCTCGCTCCTCTGTCCCCCAGGAATCAGACAAAGATGGAGGCGGTGGGGGAAACACTTGCCGGCTGTTTGCAGGTGGTTTTCCTGGATTACAGTACGGGGTGGGGCCAGCGCCAGGACATCCCGCCTCATGTCTGGGCTCTACTCTCTGTGCCCGGCACTGAGAGGTGTGGCGCGTGTGTGTGTGTGTGTGAACGAGTGTGTGCACGTGGATGCCGGCGTGGTTTTCCAAGCTTGTGTAAGCTGTGTGCTCCCCTGTGTGTCTGTTTCTGGAAGTGTGTCTGTGAGCATGTTAGTGCTGGTGTGTGAGTCAGTGTGGGGGTGAGCGTGTACCTGTGTGTGCTCACTGCTCCTGGCTAGAATGGGGCTGGGGGCACTCATGATAAGCAGATGTTGGCAACTGGGTGGCAGCTGCTGAAAAGAATTCCTCCCGGGCTGCTTAGCACAGCTAATTGGCCGTTGGCGGTGGTTGCCTGCTGTCACTTTCCAGCCCCTCAGCCAAGTGCAAACTTAGACCAGGCTTGGGCCACAGCAGGGGGAAATTTGGCCCAAGAGGCTGAGTAAGGTTTGAAGGATGTATCTGAGCGTGGGCCCTGCGGGGAGGGAGAGAGGCAAAGGAGCAGAGAGGAGGAATCAGACCTAGAGAAAGGAGGCTGGCAGGGCCCCCGGCAGGGCAGGTGGGTGTGGCAACAGAAAGGGAGCTGGCTAAGGGCTCGGTGGGTGGTTATAGCAACTGTCCTCTTGCTTCCCACCCAAAGTTCAGATCCTGGGGCTGCAGCTGGGGAGGCTCGGTAAAGTCTGGTGCAGAGGGCAGCTGGCACGGCCCTGCCACAGGGGGATTAGCACTTCTTGTGTCACAGTGACCTCTCACCCAGCCCCCTCATGGAGCCAACCGATGCCCGGCCCCAGATTGAAGATTAGCCTGTAGGCTGGAGTTTAGACTTTAGTTCAGGAAGATGTGGCCAGGGTGGGTGTAAGGGATGGTGCTCTGGCAGGCCACATCCCTCCAGGCCTCAGTGTCCAGTGGGGGCAGAGCCAGGTGATCCCAGGGAGTGCCCGCTGGATAGGGTCAGGTTCACGTTTGGGCTCGGCTGGGCATGATGGGGATGCGGAAGGTGTCCTCACAGGGGAGGGATGCCGTCTCCCCCGGCCTTCTGGCCGCCTGTTGACCCTCCCTCTCAAGGGACAGGCAGGCAGGGCATCTGCTGGCATACTTAGCAGTCTCTAACATGGGTATCCAGGCAGACGCAGGAGGGCAGGCACTTCTGGGCCATTTTGATCTAGCCATGCCTGCTTCCAGTGTCTCTTCCCCTCTCTGGCCTCCATTTTCCAGAGTCACCCGAATACCTGGGCTGAGCGGGGTTGCAGATGGGGGAGAAAAAGGGGCAGCCTAGTGCGGGGCCAGCCCTGGGCTGGGAAGCAGGCACGCTGGGTTCAGGTCCCATCTGCTACTTACTTGTTGAGTTTCCTGGAGCTGAGGACCCTGAGGCTCCAAGAGGAGACCTAGTGTCCTGTTGTCTATCAGCCACGCCCGTACCACCAGCAAGCTCTCTTTGGGGATGTGTGTTTATTACCCTTCCTGGGAGGGTTTGGCTAAGAGGAGCCAAGAGGGGCCATGCTGAGCATGAGGGCACTGAGCGCTGTGGCGGGGGCCCAGGCACTGCCCTGACCACACGAGGGAAGTTTGGGGTCCAGAAGCACAAGTCCTGGGCCTAGAGACAGAGAAAGTGACCCCCAAGGGCTCCTGTCAGACACTGGACCTGGGATCCGAAGGGACTGGGGGGTGGCCTCAGGGCTTCAAGAGGGGCAGAGTCCAGTCTACCCAGCAGGTGACACACTGTTTCCTCCAGGCCCTGTGGAGGGTCCTGCAGCCCCTTGGGCCCTGGACCCCACCCTGACCCAAACTTGGGTGGAGCTAGTCGTTGGCATGGAGATTTGCAGGGAAAATAGGGAAAGAAGTGGCAGGAAGTGGTTGGGGTGAGTCAGGGGGTGTCCCCCAGGGACATGATGGGGACAACTTTCTGCTCACTGAGTCAGGGCTCAGGATACGCCCTGGAGAAACCACGGGCCTCCATCCAGCCTGCAGGATTCCTGGCTAGTTCTAAGAGCTAAACCCCAATTTCAGCCAAGGGTGAGAGGCAGGGGTTGGTGCCCCAGCCCGCCCTGCCCTAGCTCAGCCACAATACCCTGTGTGACTTGATGTGTGAGCTCCCGGTGTGGCCCTAGTTCCCATCTGTGAAATAGGGACATAGCAGGTTGCACTTGGGCTCTGCGAAATGGAAGATGCTCACTCATGAACCTGGGAGTCCTGCCCATTTACCCGCTCTTTATACTCTTCCGCTCTGTGGCTCGCTAGCCATGCTCCTTGCAAACACGACCTGGGGCTGCTGTGGGCTGAATGAGGGGCTGAATCACCTGGCTCCCTGCCCTGGAGAAGCCCACAATCCCTGGCGAGATAAGCCCCATGCACAGCTGCCCAGGTGAGATAAGCCCCATGCACAGCTGCCCTGTGATATACTGCAGAAGCCATGTGTGATAACAGGTGTCAGGGAGGCCAGGGAACTTCTGACCTTAATGGGTGGGGAGGACCAGGAAGGCTTCAGGGCGGAGGTGTCACATGAGCCTGAATGTGGAGACCCTGCTAGGGAAGGGGCTTTCAGTAGAGGAAGTGCATGAACACAGGCAAGGGGGCAGTGGGACCTCAAGGCCTGGGAGTCGTGGGTTGCAGCTGGATTGGGGGTCATGGTGGGAGGCTGGGGCTCCGGAGGGTGGTGAAGCTCGGGACTCAGGCCAGTGTCTGACTGCATCCTAGAGGGAACTGGATTCTTAGCTATCCTGGAGCCTGTGATTTTAGCCCCTTAGCGGGCTCAAGCAGAGGGCAAGCCTCCCCTCTTTGGGGTCTTCTCTTAGCCCTGCTTATTCTGGGCCTGACTACCTGGGGATGCTTCTACCTGCTGCATCAGGGCCCAGACCTCAGCCCTAAACATCCCTCAGTTCCAGGCCTCAGTTTCCCCAACCACAGAGTGAGAAGCCCCCCCACTCCATGCCATCACTTCTCCTGGGGTTGAGGGCACCTCCTACCTTCTCGAGAGCTGGGGGTAGGCTGGGGAAAGGGAAGCCAGAGTTTTCCGACGGCCATGCCCAGGCCGGCCTGCCCAGGGAGGGGGCTGGGGGCTGGGTCATGGTGCCAGCTGGGACGTATAATTACTGTTTCCAGCCAGAACCAGATGAGGGGGAGGGCACCAAGGGAGGCAAGACCTTTGCGGTGGAGACTTCCCTCACCACGGAAAATTCTGAGCTGTTTCCCCCGTTAGAGCCCTCAGGGCAGTCCCACTGGCCCCATGTTGCCCACTCGACACTCGGCCCTCACCTGTCTGAATGGGCGACACTCTGAAGGGGGTGCCTCAGTTTAAGGGACTTGCCTCGCTCCTGCCTCCTGGGCCACAGCCCCCCGCCCCCAATCTGGAGCCATTAGCTCCTTACGGGCCAATTCCATGCAGTTCTCCCCAACCTGAGCTTGGACCTGGACAGTGCTCCCCACTTTCTCTAGGGCCCCACCCAGCAGGTGTTCCTGCAGTGTTAGCCCACCAGGGCTATCCCCAGGCAGGCCAAACATGCCCCCTGCCCGTCCCTTGGGAAGTGGCTTAGGAAACCTTCCCTGGGGGCACAGGGAGCCCTTGGTTCTTGCTAACAGAGCCTCCATGGGGGTCATGGTCCCTGTCCTTGGAAATGCCAATGGATCTGGGGTCTCTCGAATGGCTCGGGCTGAGCCCACATGCCTGTAGGTGAGGGCAGGAAAATGTTGTCATGGCCACGGTCCCCTCAGCCAGGGCATCTCCCCGGGGATGCCCACAGCAGTGCCCAGGAGATTAGCGAGGGGCTGTCTTCACACAGCCAAGGAGCTACAGTCCAGTGGCGTAAGCACACCTCAAGGCTGAAAACGCTAACTCTGAAGATGATAGAAGAGGCAGGAAAGGGCCCCATTCCACCAGCAGTTCCTTTTAGCTGAAATCCCACCATCAAGATGACTGGAAAGGCAGATGTCCGCTCAGTGTAAGGAAGGATATTTTTTTAATTGAGAAGGGGCTGCCTTCAAGTCAATAAGCTCCCTGTCATTGGGGGTGTGCGAGTAGAACCTGTCCAGCAGCCGGGCTGTGCTGGGGGCATCTGGCTGTGTGGGGGTGCAGCAGGGTGGGTACAGGGAGGTCCTGTCACAGGCTTTGTGCCATGTTGAGAGCAGCAGTTCAGATGGCCTTGTGGGAGGCAATCCTGCACTCAGGTTTCTGGATCTTGGCTGGGGGATGACTGTGGGTCTTGGAGGCAGGGGTCCCATGACAGGAAGGGAGGAATCCTGGAGACTGTCTGGGGCTAGAATCTAGGCCAAGGCCACTGAGCCCACTGTTCACACATGGTACATGGGGGCACACACATGTGGGCATGGAGCACATTCTCAAGTCTGGGTGGTCCCACTCAGGCCCTGGGACCCCAGGAGAGTAGGGTGGGGGCTTCTCAATGGAGCCTCTTCCTTTCCCTGGCAGGAGGGTGGGGTCTGCCCTGGAGTAAGGAAAAGAAGGAGAGAGGGAAGGAGGAAGCCATTGCTTTGTGTATTGTTTCTTGTCAGGGAGGTGAAATGGCTTCTGGGAGCAAATAAAGAGCCTTTGAGACATATTTTCTCTTTCTTGCTCAAGGGGGCCTCCTTCCCTTCTCCTCTTCCCTCCCCAGTCAGTAGTGGCAACTGTGTGTGGGTGTATGACACACAGGGCATGGTGACACACTCAGAAATGCCATCAGACACAGCACGGCCACCCAGGGCCACATGCCACACAGAGACACCCGACACAGAGCCCACCTTGGTAAGAGACGCACCCTGTGTCACAGGGGTTCTCCGTGACAGTTGAGATACATTTGGCCAATACATGACCCATTTGTCTGAATGTCCCCCATGGGCTGAAAAACAGTGTATATTCTCTAATTTTGGGGTACAGTGTTTTACATATTTTCCTTAAATCAAACTTGTTAATTATGTGGTTCAAATCCTCCCTATTCATGTTATTTATATTTTTTGACTGCTTCATTCTATCAGTTTCTAAGAGAGGGACCTTAAACTCTTTCATTCTCCTAGTGAATTGATCAGATGCTCCCTGTAGTTCTGTCAATTCTTGTGTCATTTATTTTCAGTCTATATTGTTTGCTGCATACAGGTTGAGAATTTTTATAGCTCTTTGATAGACTTTTCATTTAATTTTTGTGTAATAAATCTCTTAATATCTAACAAAAAAGAAAAGGAGAGAGTCACAACTGGACACGTGTGGTTACCCATAGATCCTGCAGACACCCATCTTTAAAGACACATAGAGGCACACGGAGCTGTGGCTACCCAGATACACATGAACACATGAACGTCCATGGAGGGTGACACTGGGGGCCCACTGAGGCCCCCTGCTGTGAGTGCCGAATCAAGTGGGTGGGCGGGGCAGGCCTCCAGGTCTCCCATCCCCTGTTCTTCAGGAGCAGACACTTAGAGCTGTAGCCATGTTGGGCTCTGGAGCCTGCTGCTCCCCAAGAGTGGGACACGAGGGTTCCCAGGCCAAGTTGGGGCCCTGGGCCATGGAAGCTACCTTGGTCAGCCTGCCCATGGGCAACGGGAAGGGTTTGAGGCCCATTGCCTGGAGAGGTCAGCCCTGTACCACCTTGGAGCCCAGGACACGTTGGCAGCTATAGAGAGTCCTTCTGCCAGCTCCCCAGTCCAAGCTGGGAACAGCCACATCCTTTGGGTGGTAGCCAGCACCTTGGCCTGGGCTTATGGGGAGGCAAAGATCCTGGGGCAAGGATCCTGGCTTTGCTGTCTCCTCCCTGGGCCTCAGCTTCTTCATCCATCATCACACGGAGCCCTTGCATGGGCTGCCCTGTAAGGCCCACAGAGAATAATGACTGGCCTGTGGTCTCCCAGCCAGAAAGCAAAGAAGCCAGCCCTGGGTCCAGAGAACTTCCGTGGAGCCAGGCTGCCTCCAGAGAGGGTGGAAGTCCCAGAAAATTAGCATCCTCTGCCATTTCTGTCACCACACGATGAGTGTCCCCTCCAAGGTCTGGGGAGGGAGATGGGAAGATCTCCCTGCCCTGTCCTCACTGAGCTCCCAGGCCAGGGGGGCTGAGCACCCACACAGGAGACAGGATAATTGCTTCTCTATAAGAGCTGCAGGCAGTTCAGTGAGGTCGTGGTGGGACAACAGCAGAAGTTAATTCCAGCCAGGGACCTGGGAAGGCTTCTCACAGCTGGTGGGTCTGAAGTGGGCCTAGAGAGTAGATTTCCATGGGCTTGGTACACAAAGGGAGAGCTCATGTCTTTCTGATGCTCCAGATTAAATGTGTGGATTATTCTGTTGTTTATTCTTGCATTCACAAAACTGTTACTTTCTTTTTTTTGGACTTAATCAGTAAAATATAAGACCTGGGCCGGGCAAAACTATCTGGGCATGTGCAAACATCTATTTTTTTCCAATAACAAGTGACCACAACTGGGATTGGCCCTATTTAGCAATTGTTTCAGGTTGTAAGCAACGAATGTATTGAATTTTTATCTGCTCTTTCCTGGACATCAAGTTTCAACAGACCTTTAATTACCCCTTCCAATTCTGAATTATCAAGTTTTTCTGATGTAAGTAATGCAAGAGCATTGGCAGTTGAAGGAAAGGCAGTCAATAAACACTGAAGCAATCAGGCGAGGCTTCCTGGTGGTGGTGGTAGTGTTAATGGGTATTAGGAGAGGGAGGTTACCTACCCATGTGGTTCTGGGCAGTCAGGTTCTAAGGGCTCTGGGCCATCAGGAAGGGGTATATCCCAAAGTTCCCAGGGCAGGTGGCCCCTTCCCGTGGACTCAGAGTTCTGGGCACAGCACCAGGCCCCCTGCTCTGCTCACCTTGCATAAAAATTGGTGCCTTTGGGCAGAGCAGGGGCTAGGGTGCTCAGACCCTGATTAAGAGCCGAGGGAGGAGATGAGCTCACCCAGGCCACGTCTGTGAGAGGGGCAAGGTGGGGATGCGGGAGGTTGAGGGAGGAGCCACTTAGAGCGACTGGTCCATTAATCGCCGTGGAAGGGCTGGTTTCAGGACTCCCGCCAGCTAGCAATTAGGCCGACCCTGGAGAGCAGAGGAGAGAACAAGGGGAGGAGCCCTGAGCTTCCTGAGCGCTGGGACACAGAGAGTGGTGGCAGGTGTGAGTGTGATGGGCGTCGATCAGTACAAGCCTCACCTCCATGGAGCTTGGCCGGCTCCAGGCAGGCCTCACTCCCATCTCCACACCCCTGTGTAGCAAGGCCCTTCCCCTTCTGTCTGTCCCCCAATCCTGGGGATAAGATGAGGGAGAATCAGAACAAAATCACTACTGTCTGGATCTTGCTTGCCTCTGCAGCCCTTTCCAAATGCCCCAAGACAGCCCCTGCTGCCTTTGAACCTCTGGCTGCTCTGGAGAGTGGGCAGGGAAAATTAGATCCATTTTACAGATGAGGAAACTAAGACCAGAGAGGGGAAAGGCCATGCTCACGGCACCAGCAAGTAGGAGAGTCAGGACCTGAAGACAGGGCTCCTGCCTCCATGGCCCCACCTTGGGGTGGGAAGAAAACAGGGCATTGCCCAGAGGGCTGGCTGAGCTGAGGGGCCGCAGCTCTCGGGTGGGCCAGGAAAGGCCCAGAGCTGGGGTTGCATGCAGGGGAGGGGATGTGAGTCACTTTCCCTATGACCCAGGGCTGCAGACAAAGGCGGGAAGAGAATTGTTCTTGTAAGATGGCCTCAGGGTGGGGCTGAGAAAACCTCTGGAGAGTAGAGGAATGCCCCTCACCTGGGATTTTGCAAAATGCCTTATGGCCTTGGAGATACCTCCCACCCTCAGGATGAGACTTCAAGTTCAGCCTTGTTTGGGGTGAACCAGCCCTGCCTGGGAGAAGACAGCCTACGTGGCCATATCCGGGCCTCTCAGCGAGTGGGCCTTTGCCCGTGTGGCCCAGCTCCTCTGTGTGGGCACACCTGGCCCCTGGAACCCCCCACATGGGAGAGGGTGCAGGGACTCCCCGGGGAGGGGTCTTCCTGGTGCAGCTGCAGGGAGAGGGTTCCGGTGACCTCATGGCAGCTCCCATTCCCTTCTTTTTCCATGAGTCATGTTTCTAAAAGTGGCCCAGGAGCAAGTGGCAGCCAGATGCTGGTGGCGGGCCCTATGTGGCCAGAGAGAGGGAGGGTGGCCGGGCCAAGAGGAAGAGGGAGGGGGCAGACAGGGAGGGCAGGGCTGAGAAGAAATAGGAGAGAGACACTGGAGCAGGGGAGAGACAGACAGAGTTGGGAAGGAGACAGAGAAGGGGGCAGCAAGGGAGACAGGCACGAAGGAGAGAGGGACAAAGGGAGCCAGGCCAACTAAGCGAAGAAGACCTTTCCCAGCTTTGGGATTTTTAGATGCTGCAGGGGATGGGGTGGAATGTTCTGGATTTTGGGGGCATGAAGCAATGTCTCCAGCTGGGCCCTCCCACACATTTACTTCTCTTCTCCTATAAGTGTGCCTGACCCTCACCTCCCAGGCCTGGGGCTCGCCCCTCACCTGTGGCCTTGGTACCCCCAGGGTACCCTGGCCTGTATATAGCCGGATGCAGAGGCGCCCCAGGCCTCTCTGGCCTCTAGGCAGAGCCTGCAGGGTCTAGGCAGGTACCAGGGGCCGAGCTGGTGCTTCCTTAACAGGCATGGGAGGGGACAAGGCCTGATGTCCACTACCAGCTGTGCGTGCTTGGACAGGGCCTTGCCCCCTCTGGGCCCAGCCAGCGGCTGATGTGATCGGCTCTCAGGGCATTGAGGGTCTGGCCCTTGTTGCCCGGGCCTGGGGGGCCTAGGACACAGTCCCCAGTTGCCTTGCTCACTGAGCCTCACTGCCCCTCTTGCCTACAGCTGGCCCCGGGTGTGAACTCAGGCCAGGGCCTGGGCATCGAGATCCTTGCCACCCTGCAGCTCGTGCTGTGTGTGCTGGCCACCACGGACCGGAGGCGCCGTGACCTCGGGGGCTCAGGCCCCCTTGCCATTGGCTTCTCTGTGGCCCTGGGACACCTGCTGGCGGTGAGTGAGGGACCTTCCCAGGTTGGCGGGGGTGGGGTGGGGTGGGGAGGGCAGGGCCAGGCAGAGACTGTCGAGGTGCCCTGTCATGGGCAGTGGAGGGCACCCTCAACAGGGTTCATGCCATGGGGGTGTAGGGGGGTGCGATCAGCTCTTTGGGGCTGAGGGAGAGGGAAGTACAGGAACCTCCTGACCATCTTTCTGGGTCAGTGTGCCCCTCTCTTTCTGGGTCTGATTGTCACTTCCTTGTCTTTTCTCTCTCTGGGTCACTGTCTGTCTTCCTCTCTCACCCCTGTTTCTCTCTCTCTCCTCTGCCCACCGGCCCCTTCCCTCTCACAGATTGACTACACCGGCTGCAGTATCAACCCTGCCCGGTCCTTCGGCTCCTCCGTGATCACTCACAACTTCAAAGACCACTGGGTAAGGGCGGCGGGGCCCCCCGTGGAGGAGGGGGGAGGGAGGCTTTGGTGCCCCATGGTAGGCCCCACCCCACCTTGCCATGTCCTTTCTCATCCCAGAGGCTCTGGGAGACAACCAGGGCGGAGGAAATCAGGGAGTCAAGGCCTGAGGTGAAGGGGCCGGTGGGGCCACACCTCGGGCAGCGTAGGCCAGGCCTCTGCCTGCCCAGCTCAGACCTGCCCCATGTCATCCCAGCAGCGTGGTCGAGAGGCAGGCCCCAATCCTGGCTCTGCCGCTTTCCCAGTCAGTGTGACCCCGGGTGGGCTGCTGGCCCTCTCGGTGCCTGTGTTTCCTGAGCTGTGAAGTGGGGTATGGTGCTATCTACCCGCCTCCCGGGATGACCGGGAGGATGACGACTTCACCACCTGTAAGCTGAGCTCAGTGCGGAGCAAGCACTCAGTGGACTGAGCTGTTCTTACTGTGGGTGTTTCTGTTCCAGGCCAACCTTTTATCAGACTAGACTTTCCTGTGGCCTTTCCAAAGCGGGGGAGGGTGGGGCAGAGGCCACCGCAGGAAGGAGCTGGTCTGACCACCTCAGGCAGCCTGAGCTGGGCCACACAGAGGCAAGGAGATGCCCACTACCACCGTCCTGGCTTTGGCCAGTTCTGGGGGCTCTGGAATGAGGGTGCTCTGTCCCAGGCACGGGGCGCAGAAAACCCATCCAATGGGGTGGTGGGGTGGGGAATTCAGGAAAAGAGTGCCAGGAGAGGGGGCTTTCAGCAGAGCCTGGAAGGCCCTATCAGACACCCTGTGAGCACGCCTGCTCTCTTCCTAGATTTTTTGGGTGGGGCCATTCATCGGGGGAGCCCTGGCGGTGCTCATCTACGACTTCATCCTGGCCCCACGCAGCAGCGACCTCGCAGACCGCGTGAAGGTGTGGACCAGCGGCCAGGTGGAGGAGTACGACCTGGATGGCGACGACATCAACGCCAGGGTGGAGATGAAGCCCAAATAGAGGCGGCCTGGCCCGGGCATCCACGTGGGGGGCGGGGCCAGGGGCGGGCGGAGGGAGGGGAGGGCTGAAATCCATATTGCAGACACTCTGACAAGCTGGCCAACGTCACTTCCCAAAGATCCACAGGACCTGCGTGGTCAGGCCTGATTTGGGGCTGTTTCTATCACTTTCTTTCTCTTTCTCTGTTTCCTGGCCTCGGGGCTTCCTGGGGACCCAGATTTACCAATTACCCACTCCCTTGAAGTCACAGAGGAGGTGAAAGAAAGGGACCCACCTTGCTAAGTTGTCCCCTCAGAGTGTGATGGGAGGTGTGCCAGAAAGTGCCCCCTCATCCCAAAGTTGCTCACCGACTCACCTGCCGCCGGTGCCTGGGGCGCCACCATTATTGCTTCGTGCCTTTGGGCGTGGCCCTCCTTCTTCTCAGAGCATGCACCTTGCTCCTAAGGGTGCTCGGGGAAGAGCTCCCAGGCGGGGCAGTGGTGGGGGCAAGTGGCAGACGAGCCTCATCCTTGCAGTGTGGCTCGCTTCCAGTCCCCCCTTGGACTTGCTGCATGACCTTGGGATCGCCCCTATCTTGGGCCTCAGGGACCCCGTCTGTAAAGCGGTAGGGACAGGGGAGAGCTCTCCAGGTCTGAGGTCCCTCTCTAGGATTCGGTAAGTGAAGACACACCGCCGGTTCTGGAAGACATAGTCTGGACCAGTGCTGCTTCTCCCACTTGCCCTGGTTCTTTCCCCAAGTGTATAGCTGTACCTAACATCCATGTGAACACGTGTACATATGCATAGACGTGCAAAGCAGAGAGCAACAGAGTGCAGGCCATTGGGAGTTCCTGTTCCTGGGCGAGCAGGGCTGATTGCTAAGCTGGGGCTTCCGCGAACAGGGCCTACTACTGCAGAAAGAAGGCTACTCAGAGGGCGAAGGAGGACTACTCATGTCCCTTCACTGAGTTTTAGCCGGTCTTTTCACCCATCACTGCATCATCTTGATCATTATTCGGTTCTCCACTTCCTCCTGCCAGTGTAGACACAGGTCACCGTTATGCGGGTGTGTGTTTTTTAAAGGGCAGCTGGTTATCTGAAGCCCCAAACCTGAGGACAGATGACCATGATGTGGATCAGCCCACGGAGGCAGATGCCCTTGCTGGACCCTTCGGGGTGTTTCCAAGCCTCCAGCTAGTCCTGAGGGGGGAGGAGGAGCAGACTCCCCCTTGTTCCTGAGCTCCTGGCTGGAGGCATTTGAGCAGCTGGGTGACCTGCACAGGCTCCTGTGTGACCCCGGGGCACAGCCTTCCCTTTCTCGTTTACCTGGAGGGGAGTCGGCCTTGACCTGGTGAAGTAGCTGCCACTGCAGCCCAAGGACGGTTCAGAGTCCAGAGTCTGCTTTGGGGGCAGCTGTGCACACAGTCCATTCAATTCCACCAGGGCCTGGTGCCCCTACGTGCCTGTAGCCACGGTGGTGACAAAAACCGAGAGACACAATACGTAGGTATCTAGAAGCAGTGGGACGACCAGGAGGCCCTTAACGGTCACCGATGCATCACAGTATCCACACACTCTCTTCTCCATTTCCTAGCAGGGCCTTCTAGCCCATTTAATAGACAAGGAAACTGAGGCCCAAGGTCCCACAGCTAGATCATGATTTGGCCAGGCCTCGCAGCCGAGGCCATGCCTCTGGCTGCTCTCTGGACTGTGAGACTGGCCCCTCTCATCCCCAGCTTCTCGGTTTCTGCCTGGGCAATGGCCAGGGACCAGGAGTGGTGAGGGCTGTGCTGGAGGGGAGAGGGGAGCAGACCCACCCACTGCCCAGTTCTGGCTGCTGCGTACCAGGACCCTGCCTCTGTCTGCTCTGCATATATGTCTCTCTGGAATTGGAATTTCGTTATATGTTAAGAAAATAAAGGATAATACAGGTTGTTCAGGTTCCCTGTAGTTTTTCTTCTTTTGGCACTGTGTTCCCACAAGGGATCTCTGAGTCTGAGAGATCAGACCATCCCTAGGGACCCAGTCTGAGGGGGAGCGCCTGCCTGTCCTCCTGCCCTCAGGATCCCTGGTCTTAGGGAGTGGACACAGCCCTACCCCAGAACTCCATCTGAGGGACACCCCTCCATCTGAGGGGCCATTTTTGATTCTGGAGTGTGAATGAGGGGGGAAAGCAGGATGGAAGTGTGACAGCCCCTTTAGTCCCCTCTGCCCCTGTCAGAGCAGGGCCCAGGGAGCACTAGGAACTGCATCCCTCCCTTTGTCCCCCCTCGCACATTTCTGACCCCACCTGTGCCTGGGCTGGGTGCTGGGGCCCACAGGCTCTGCCCGGGAGCTCCGCCCTGTTGGGGGGACGGACTCGCCCATCAGAGTGCAGTCAGTGCCAGGCATGGGGGATGCTGATGGAGGATGGGAAGGACAACTTGCAGTAGCTAAGAGGGGAAAAGTGATTTAGTCCCTTGAGGCCTTGTGGGCCAAAGGGCTCCTCTGCTCTGAAATCCCGAGCCACGTTCAGTGAGGGTGTGCATTTTCCGTGGAGGGGTCTGCGGCTTTCATCAGATTCCTAAGGGGTCTGCCAAGGGTGGAAGAGAAGAGAGGTCAGAGTGAGCTGGCCTCTGCCAGAGGGTGACAAGGAGCTACGGAAGGACCCCTCTGTCCCCTCCTGCCTTTCCACCTGTTCTCGTGTAGCCCTGAGGCCGGTGTGGGCTGAAAAAGGCTCTGTCTGGACCTCTTGAGCTCACAAAACCCCTTCCCACCCCTGGCCTCCCCCAATGTTGGGGGCACAGCAGGCGTGGGTATCCTCACTCAATAGAGGGGAGATGGCTACTCCGAGACATGTCCCAAAGTCACAGGACAAGTCTATGTCAAGCTGACACTTGGACTCAGGCCCCTGACACTCCCTGCCGACACACACACTTAAGGCTAGTTTCTCAGAATAGGAACAATTATGTGGGGAAACAGTGCTTGATAATAAGGAACAGGCCATGGGCAGGCTTGCACCTTCCACAGAGGCCTGGAGTCTGGGGGGTTCCGGAGTCCGGGAACCATCAACTTTCTGGAAATCTCACTGGACAACATGGGCAGGTGTTGCCGTAAGTGTGGGCTGCAAACGTAAGGGGTGACTGGGAAGGTCCTAGCACCCCCACACTGCTCCTAAGAGACACACAGTTCCTGCCTCCCTCTGGTAGAGGGCTTGGCTGATGGTGATACAAGGGCGGCCAGGCCTGTAGAGGGCCAGGGGTTAGGTCACCAGTGAAGGCTGAGTCAGTGCTGTGGGAACAGGCTTTCTTGTTCCAGTGAGCACCGGGCCACTGTGAGTGGCACCTGGCTATCTCAGCCCATGCAAACTACCCCTGCATCTCCCAGGTTCAGGACAGGCGGGCATGAATGAGAGGGTGACAGCCAGGCTATGGGAACAGGGGCCGAGCTAGCACACTGCAACCTGGGCCCCCTTAGGGGGGTGTGCCGAGACTATCTCGCACAGCCCTTCTTGGCTTAGCTCCTTATCTTGTCCCATCCTCTCAGGCGTGAAGCCCTTTCAGTCCCCACTAGGGGCCCTGGCCACCCCCACCTCAACCCTTGCTCTTCCTCCCCGCGCCGCCCCAGCCATTCCAGGGCAGAGCCTGTCTCATTGACTGTTTATCTATAACTTCTAGAATCCTAGTGCCAGGAGGCAGGACCTGAAGGAGAAGTTGAGGAACTGGTATTTCTTGAGCACCTACTATGTGTGAGGAACTCCCGGGACTTCACATACAGTCTTTCTAATTTTTTTTTTAAGATTTTTTTTTCAGGGAAAGATTTGCCCTGAGCTAACATCTGTTGCCAATCTTCCTCTTTTTTAAATTTTTCTTTCCTCCCCAAAGTCCCAGTGCATGGTTGTGTCTCCTAGTTGTAAGTCCTTCTAGTTCTTCTATGTGAGCCACCACCGCAGCATGGCAACTGACAGATGGGTGGTGTGGTTCCATGACAGGGAAGTGAACCCAAGCCACCACAGCCGTGATCACCGAACTTTAACCACTAGGCCATCAGGGTTGGCTCCAGTCTTTTTTAATCTTTACATCATCCTTGGAATGTAGAGATGACTGCCCCCACTGACAGATGACACTGAGGTCCTTCAAGATAAAATGATTTGTCCTAGGCCACACAGTGTGTTGGGGGCAGAATTGGGATTTGAACCTGCTCTGTCTGGCTTCAAAAATTGGGTTTTTCCACTATATGGTGCTGGTTCATTTTGTCATGACCCCCACTAGGTTTAGCTCTGGACCACCTGGGAAGCCTGGCTTCCTCTGCCTGCAGAGTGTTAGAGGGACGAGGAAGGGCAGGGAACCACTGGCTGAAGGTGACTACAGCACCAGGAGAAGAGCTGTTCGTCTTGGGCTAGCTGGACATGTTGTCTGCTTAAGACACATTGGCACCACCTGGCCTGAGGCTGCTCCCCTAGCACCGGCCCCACCCCAGCCTCCCCAGTGCCCTCCAGGCCTTACTTCCCCCTATCTGGGACGAAAATGTCTGATAAACTTGCTCATTCAGAGACTGTCCTCTCCCACCAGAGTATATGAGAAGGGGAAGGGCAATGCTGCACCCTGAGGAATAATAATGCATCACGAAGGGGTCACAGACCCTCATTCAGGCCTGGGGGAAAAAGCTTTGGAGACAGTCTGTCTCAGAGTCCCTCCCGTCTTTCAGCCCCTGGTTCAGTGCTCCAGGCACCCTGTCTCCCAAGGGTCATCTCCACTCTGCTCTGCTCATGTTCCATCCAGCCAGCACAGAGAAGGGGTTTTGCGGGAATAATTGGAACTGGAGTGGAGTTTCTGCAGCAACCAGAGCCCTTGCCTGTTTTGTTCATCAAATTTTAGTGGAGAGAGTAAATTTCCTGGAAGATTCCATGACTCAACCTCAGTTCCCCAGCTGCTGAGCATTCAGGTGACTCCACACGTGAGGTGCTTTGGCGGGGGGAACGTATCACCCTCCTTTGGCTGGGTCCCAGCTGAGACCAGACAATAGGTCACTTCCTCCACTGGACTCTCTCATGGTCCAATAGACACTTGCACACAGAGGTGGCTCAGCTGGCCCGGAATGTCGTGCCCTCTGCACTTGGCCCAGAAGGAAGCAGGATGCAATCCAGCAGGCACTGAATCCTGGAATATTTGTCCCTCCATTAAATTCACAAGAGCAAAAAGTTAGGGCTCCACAATTGCCCCGCCTGTCCTGAGGCCTCCTAGGAACCCAGGCCCAGATTGCATGATTTTCCAAAGCCTTTTAGAGGGATGATCAGCTGGAGCCCTGTGATCAATGTTCAGATCAACCTGAAGTTGCCTTTGAGCCACACATAAATATGACCACAAGCATTGGGTCAGTCGGTCCTGGTTTTCTAAACATTCAGGAATCTGGGATCCTTGTAGTCCCAAACGTTTCCTTTGATATTTCCCTTTCTTCTCCAGGATCAAGGAGCTCCCTCTTTCAGGCCCTGGAGAGTTACTGATAGGTCTACGGGAGAAGATATGATCTTTGAAGCCATCCCCGACTGGGGTCAGTCAACTGGTCAGACACAGATGCCATGAAGCATCTGCGGGGCTAGCGGTCCATAACTGGCACTGATCCCAGCATCATTATCCTCTCAAAAGCTCATGTGGGCTCAAAGATGGCCCAAATGAAAGAATGTGGGTGGCTCAAGGCAGCCATTTGCCACTTGGCCCCAAGGACCACCACGCCTTTTGGGGATTTGGTAGATGCAGGGAGGGTTCTCTCCCTTTTAGGGTTCCCAGGCTGGTCCTCATTATCCTTGGAACCAAAGCCTGGAGGCTGTCTGGAAAAGAACTGGAGG